AAGAAATATGGCAAAGAAGAAAAGTGCGAATTTGCAGAAATATTTGTGCTACGTGGACATCAAAGCAACTATTATTTCACTGGTCAAATATAAATTCTATTTATGGTTGCTACATTTTTTCCTACCGACAAGAAACTGTATACTGCCAATTCGCTCCAATTGTAACAATATTTATTTGGTTGTCGCTACAAATTGATTTTTTAATTTAATAACAATTTTTTTCGAAGGAAAGTATCCTATGGTTGCATTTGCGTTCGATACGATTGCAAACGTTTTTGCGGTTATTACAGCTATTTCTGCAAAAACAATACTTTATGAGCACTTATAGCTTGCAATGATAAGAGCAATACTTTATCAGCAATGCTAGAATAGGTCATTAGAAAACGGAAAACTTCAGATAATAGTAACTGAAACGTTCCAGGTTAGATTAACCCTTTGGCTAATAGAAGCGCCTAAAGGCGTCCGACGTTTGGTCGAATATTGCCTGCACGCTTTGATGAATTTCGCCCATACGTCGCAAGGGCTCCGTATTGAAATGGTTAAAAAGAAAAGGTGAAATGTTCATTGTTGTTTATACCTTCCTACCTTTCCTATATTACGTGGTTGATTTTAAGAGGTGTACCAATTGAAGGAAACGCGGTGTTGATAAAATGACAATTTATAAGTAGGGAATTCGACAGAAAAAAATACATTGAAGTCTAGATTGGGTTAAAATAAGGCGATATGACCATAGACATGGAGAGGCCATTTGCTATAGTATCTGTATAGAGTAAGGTATTACGATGTTAGACAGAGAAAGGGACGTTCTCACTCTAAGTTTTACCGGAAGTGAGCTGCGCGCGCATTAGTAGGCTTTTGATACACGAAATTTAAACGCCTGAGTGAATGGTAAAATTAGTAAAGAAATTTGTTTCTTTTTTTTTCCTTTTCAATTGGAAATTTATTCATTTCGAAACAGTATTAACTTAGTATATTTTTTTCGGATCGCTGCTGCTTGCGCCAAAGATCAATTTGAAGGGAAGAACCTTCCCCGATGGGCTGAAGTGATTGCAGGTGCGAAAAAAATTCATCGGAGACACGGTAGCCCAAAAACGGGCTGAGAAGGTCATGGACCCCCTCAAACATCGCTTCAAACTCCTGTATCTCCCCCGAAAAAAAAATCGCAGCCCCTCGCGCCAAAGATCAATTCGAAGGGAAGAACCTTCCCCGATGGGCTGAAGTAATTGCGGGTGCGAAAAAAATTCATCGGAGACAGGGTAACCCGAAAACGGGTTGAAAAGATCATGGACCCCCTCAAAAATCGCTTCAAACCCCTGTATCTCCCCTGAAAAAAATCGCAGCTGCTTGCGCCAAAGATCAATTTGAAGGGAAGAACCTTCCCCGATGGTCTGAAGTGATAGCAGGTGCGAAAAAAATTCATCGGGGACAAGGCAGCTCGAAAACGGGTTGAAAACGTCATGGACCCTCTCGAAAATCGCTTCAAATTCCTGTATCTCCCCTGAAAAAAATCGCAAACGTTCGTGCCAAAGATCAATTTGAAGGGAAGAATCTTCCCCGACGGACCGAAGTGATTGCAGGTGCGAAACAAATGTATTGGGGACAGGGCAGCCCGAAAACGGGCTGAGAACGTCATGGACCCCCTCGAAAATCGCTTCAAACCCCCTATACTTTCCCTTAACACTTTGACTGCCACGCGCATTTTATTTGACTGCTATGTCACCCGAATATGGGTTACGCGGCTGTCAACGTGTTAAACAAATTACAGTCTACAAGGATATAGAAAGACGTAGAAGCGAGTACAAGCGGGTCGACAACACTACCTGATGGCACCTTATACACGAGGAAGTCATTCATGATTGCTAGTGTACATACAACTCGAACGGTGAGGCGCAACGTACTGTACGCGCGCGGCTGCAATGGGGCCTGATTAGAACTGGTTCGCTGGGCGTCGTTGCTCTTTAACGCAATTAACGACAACGCCTGAGCCGGCGTTAATTCCCGGGGATCGAGCCTTAACTCGGCAACGAAAGCTGGAACGGCTGATGAGCCGCGAACTCCGACCCAGCGATCCTCTGAGCGTTCTCGAGCCGACCGATTGAGTCGTCCCTCGAATTGGTCCCAATTGGAAGGAGCGATTTTTGCTTTTGGGCCGCTCCTCCTTGCTTTAACCCTTTCATTACGAGCGCCGATTATAATCGGCATCCATGCGACGACCTGGGTGTACGAGCACCGACTATAATCGGCACATGTATAGAGTTCGAAAATTCTCGGTAACATTAAATTGGAGAAGGTAACTGTTAAACATACCGTAAGTTACCGGGAACATTGAGAATTTAAGAGAACGTTAATTTTGTTATATATATTTTAGGTTTCTTCGTTTAAATAACTTTTTTTTTTTTCAATCAACTTCAAAGTTCAAGCTGAAGAGTAATAATTACTATTAGAAAATATTGATTTTAGGGTCGTATTTAATTCCAGCTAAAAATATTCACGTATGTACAACTTCACGGAAAATTCCATGCCATTTGTTACAAACGAACTGATATTTCATTCTGCGACGAAGCGAATGGGAGGTTTTGATTGGCTACGGGGGACGTACAACGGAAATTCCCCTCTACGATGTTTCTCTATAGCTAATCAAAACCTCTCGTCCGCTCTGTTGAAAAATTAAAATTCTCATAATTTCTCGATAAAAAAGGATTTCGAGAAATTACCGATAAATTACCGGGAATTTCTCTTCGTTTCTGACGTAACTTACTGGATTTAGAACTCTACACATGTACGACGATCTTTGGGTACGAGCGCCGATTTTAGTCGGTAACAATTTCTGCCATATCTGTAGAGTATCTTTTGATCGTATTGACCAGTATTGGATTAATCACTCCTGAAAGTACATTTTGAACACAAGTAACACATTTTGGCCATCGAGACGAGAAGACCAGCTATTGGGATAACTTTTAATTTCTTAAAAGTTTAAGGGTGGATTTTTATTTGTAAATCTAATAATGGAATAATACGACAAAACAGGTGTTATTTAACACTTAGAACAGTGTACATACAAAAGGAAGTCAAAGAGGCGTTGTTCAGGTGGAAGACGTAAGTTTGAACACCGAAGACTGCCTACCGCAATGTGTGCACCCTTACGGCGCGATTGCACTGACCAGTATTGGATTAATCATCCTAAAAGTACATTTTGAACACAAGTAACACATTTTGGCCATCGAGACGAGAAGACCAGCTATTGGGATAACTTTTAATTTCTTAAAAGTTTAAGGGTGGATTTTTATTTGGAAATCTAATAATGGAATAATACGACAAAACAGGTGTTATTTAACACTTAGAACAGTGTACATACAAAAGGAAGTCAAAGAGGCGTTGTTCAGGTGGAAGACGTAAGTTTGAACACCGAAGACTGCCTACCGCAATGTGTGCACCCTTACGGCGCGATTGCACTGACCAGTATTGGATTAATCATCCTAAAAGTACATTTTGAACACAAGTAACACATTTTGGCCATCGAGACGAGAAGACCAGCTATTGGGATAACTTTTAGTTTCTTAAAACTTTAAGGGTGGATTTTTATTTGTAAATCTAATAATGGAATAATACGACAAAACAGGTGTTATTTAACACTTAGAACAATGTACATACAAAAGGAAGTCAAAGAGGCGTTGTTCAGGTGGAAGACGTAAGTTTGAACACCGAAGACTGCCGAATGTGCACCTTTGCGGTGTGGTGTCGTGTTCAGTGGCGGTTCTCTGACGGAGCGACCTGCCGTAACGAAAGGGTTAAGGGGATGTGAAAGTGGCGTTGAAGAGGTTTTGTTTATAAAACTTTTCTCCCAACTCGGTTGACCGAATAGTTCGAAACTTTACAACGTGAATAGGAAGACTATAAGGAAGGTCCTGAAACTCATGAAATTTCAATTCTTTTCAAATTTGTTTATAGGTATTTTTAAAAATGGTTTATAGAAAATGAAATTTCGCGAGTTTCAGGACCTCCATATTCACGTGGTAAAATTTGAAACGAATCGGTACCCCCAATTCGAGGAATAGTTTCCCCAACGATTTGACTTCTCAGATATGTATAGGCTGACTCTTTCATATCCTCTTAAAGCAAGGAGGAACGGCTCGAAAGCAGAAATCGCTCCCTACAATTGGGACCAATTTGAGGAACTTTCACATCCCCTTAAGGGGATTAATGGGTTGAATTGTAGGGAGCGATTTCTGCTTTCGAGCCGTTCCTCCTTGCTTTAAGAGGATATGAAGCCTATACATATCAGAGAAGTCAAATCGTTGGGGAAAGTATTCTCCGAATTGTGTGTACCGATTCGTTTCAAATTTTCCCACGTGAATATAAAGGCCCTAAAGTAGGTCCTGAAACTCATGAAATTTCATTTTTCATACAAAGTTCATTTACTTATCAAGGATCAACCAACATGGCCAACCAACGGCTCGTTTTCTATGTTTTACGCTTCTTGGAAGCTTGGAATCGAAAATGAAGAGTTTCAGGGCCTAGCTTGAACAATTTAGAATACCGTAGAAATGGAATATTACAGAGTCAGGTGGGAAAATGTGATAAATACTTTCACCAACGATTGCAAGAAAATGCTGGCTTGTCTCGGGGCCAACGCGTGTTTTTAAAGCAAAAATTTAGTTGCAGCTAAACGCCACAGATGGCGACGTTGGTCCTAAACGGTCGTTAGAATAATGAATTCACGAGATTTCGACGGTTTTACGTCGATCTCTTCATCATTGCTTTACCGAAATGAGATATGGAACGCTTCAGTTCGTATAATTATCGTAGACTGTGAAAGACTTCAACGTATATAGAAATGTCGGTAACGGGACGCGCCAGCTTATGTTACACTTGAATATTCAAAATGGCGTTACCACCAGAAAGGGTATAGATGAATTTTACTTAATCGACCTCGATTAAATTTCTCAGCGCCTTTCGTATCATCTTAAGTCGACCGCTGCTGAGCACCTTCTCTCTTTCAGATCTCCGCAGAGCAGGGTGGCCATTGGAGGCAGCCCCTCGCCAGTGGCAGGACCTCTCGCCCTCTCCGTCAATGCATCCAGCATCCTGCCGATGGTCTCCGCTTCGGATGCCGCCAAAGAGGACATCAGCGTCGCCCCTGCCCTACCCTCGCCTGCTGCGATCCTCCCCGATCAACCCTGCGCCGATATCAATGTTAGTTGAGGCTCGATCAGCTTACATCCTCGTTTTCTTTCTTTACATTTTCATCTAATTTCTGCAATTGGATCCGTTGACTTCAAATAATTAACCCTTTTAGTGCCGGGCGAAAAAGAGGTGCTTATGCGAAGATAACCGGCCGAATTTTACGATTTTACTAGGATTTGGAAGAAGGCTCATAAAAACCAAACGAAAAGCAATATTTACATAATTCAAAAAGCAGGGTATTGAGGACAAAATAGAGAATAAAACGGTGACGCTAATTTTTCTATATTCATTGAAAATTACATCAATAACAAAGGTATAAGTGATCGAAAAAAAAAAAAGAAAAATTGAGTTCTCTGTTTCAAAACGTAATTGCACATAGGAAAAGTCATCTTTTTATCATAAATTTATATATACCGTTTATTGCAAAGTATATACTTTAAATTTCCAATATATTTCTTAACAAAATAAGTAATATTGCACAGGAAACATAAAAAATAACTCCAAGGCACATGGTAGGCGCCGGACGGATTATCTCATCCGAAACAAGTAATTGTTATAGGTTATAGGTTGTTATAGAATTAGTTATAAAATATATTCATCTAGAATGTCAAAATATTGGTGCTAGAAAGCTAGATTATCGTCAAAAGCGTTAATCCGCTACTACCGGATCGCGAGATATCTCGTCAAAAGCGTTGATCGTCCAGTATCGGGTCGCGAGATATCTCGTCAAAAGCGTTAATCGGCCAGTATTGGGTCGCGAGATATCTCGTCCAAGGTAACGAAAGGGTTAACTGTTGAAGGCTGCGGTTTGGGTACTCTTGGCACATCTCGTATGCAACGGATCATGGTATTCAGGATGTTTGATTTCTTCCTTAGATCGCGTCGGGGTTGGCCGAGCTGCCTGCGGAGGCGAATGCATCCGAGACGAGCGCATGGCTGCGAGCAGGCCGCTTCCATGCTTTCGAGTCGACCTTCTCGAGCTTCTCCGCCTCGGACATCCTGCGCCTGTCGAGGGACGATTTGATCCAGATCTGTGGCCTCGCCGACGGGATTCGGCTCTTCAATGCCCTGCACTCGAAGGCCCCCACGCCTAAACTCACCCTGTACTTCTCCGTGGAGGGCAGTGGCTCCCTCTGGAGAGTGGTCTACCTAGAGACCCTGACGAGTGGCGCCCTCTCCGGCAAGCTGCTGGCCACTCTGAACCTACCCCCTGACCAGCTGCACTCGCTGCTGCTCCTGGGACCCCAGGGCATCCACGTCATCGTCAGCAACGATCTGGTCGCCAATATGAAGGACGAGAGCATGTACTTTGTCGAAACCATCAGAGGTAGGGGCTGGGTCGACGCTGTTAACCCCTTAACCATTTGAGTGCCACGTGTCTTTGTTGTTTTCTCGTCCAAAAGTGCCAAGGAGCGGTTTTTCGCTTGTCTTATTCCCCGATTAAAAATGCCAAGGAGCGCGATAGCGCTTCTCTTATTCCACGATTAAAAATGCCAAGGAGCGCTATCGCGCTGTTTTCTGCTCTACACGGTAAGCGGTAATGTTCAACTGGAATTAAAATTCGTTCTTTTACCAGCTGTCTCATTCTTTTACTTTTACCTAAAATGGAATGGTAACCGTAAAGTCGCGCATCGACGGAAACCGAGCGTGACGCGGTTATCGGCTTCGCAGCCTAGAACGCTGGCGCTGTTCGAGCGACACAGAAGAAGCGCAAAATCGCTCCTTGGCACTCAAACGGTTAACTTACAATATCGTGGGATAGACGTGGTATATCAATCGGGCCGAACGTGAACAAAAGGTGTGAGAGATGTGGTATATCCATCTGGCCAAACGTAAAGAAATCGTATGAGAGACGTGTGAGACTTTGAACGTTCAGCCAAACCGTGAAATGGCCCGATGTATGACCAACACTTTTCTTGTTTATGGAATATATCGCCATAAGATTAAGAGAGATGGAGAGATGATTACAGCGCCGCCACCCGTTGGCTAACATTACTATTTATCCAGCATCGAACGTCCGTATCCTTCCGGGCTTCGATGGAGACTTCTGCATTCTTTGGTCATTTTGAAATTTCGGAACTTATTGTAAAAGGCCCATTTTGGCCCGAGTGGAATGTATTTTTACTAAAAGTGCGTTGTGGTAGGTTTATCCGTATCCTTCTAGGCTTCTATGGAGACTTCTGAATTCTTTGGTCAGTTTGAAATTTCGGAACTTATTGTAAAAGGCCCATTTTGGCCCGAGTGGAATGTATTTTTACTAAAAGTGCGTTGTGGTAGGTTTATCAACATTTCTATCGATTTCTTTTCTCATCCCACGGTTTCTTTCAAAATTGAAATACTGTTATCCGCCCGCTTTATTAACCCTTATCACTCCAAGAACATTAGAAGGGCATTAGAAGTGTATTAGAAGTTGGTAGCATTACTGCCGGTTGGAGTGATAAGGGTGAAATCCAGAATTGCTCAACATTCGGTACATATTTGTTCGGTTCCCATTTTGAATGCCGCTGTTTCAGGTTTTGGCATACATTTGTATTCCAAAGTGTCCGCAACATTGAAACATTTAAAACAGGGCCATTATCACTGAACTGGTGTAGATAGAACCGTCCGCGCCGCGATTTCAAGGCCGCGTAAGTGTGAGCTAGATTGCCAAGAGAATTGAGGATGTGTAGATCTCGGTACGTGCCAAGAATTGTCACATCGAAGATAGAAAAGGCTTTTAATTATAAAGGGCGGTGCATTTCTTCAAGTGCACAAGTTCGATATTTAATGTGAAATTTAAATAAAAAAGAAGTTTCACGTCATAAACACGCGGCACCCACGTACCTATTCTTGTTATGTATTTTTCTATATCCGCTTTTTTTCTTTTTAAGATGCCTGAAGAAAACTGACTGCATAGTTTACTATAGCGCGCGTTTAAAAGGTACTTTTGTTAATGTTTTTGTTATTTGCTTTCAGACCCGGTGAGCGACCAATACAAGCTGCTTCTGAAGCCGTCGACTCGTTGATGCACACGTTACAAGGAAGAAGAACGTCGAACCTTTGTGGAATAGTTTACTCTTGTTGTTATTGATTATTTCGTATCGTTATTCACTGTAAAAAGTTGGTCATTTGGTCCCTCGGTCATTCGCAGTTGGCTTTTGAGGATAATTTAGTCGCGGGCCGAGTTGGCTATGAGTATGACTTCTTGTGTCGGGAATGAAGCTTAGAGTTTCATCACACATTTGTAATATGAGACATACTCGGTCATTCATTAGTGTCGCTCCTTAAAAAGCGGGAAACGCAGTCAGTCATAGGCTAAACTAGCTACGACTCTATGTCAGAAACGAGCCATAGAATTTCATAATTGATTTGCAATAAGGCAAACCCGGTCGTTTGTTATTCTCTTTTCTCGAGGAAAAAGCAGAAAATGCAGGAATGGGTCGAGCTAACCACGCAAAATGACCCTTTATGTCGGATACAAATAGTACAATTTCATTGTTCATCTCCTGTAAGGCAATTCCGATCGTTTGTTACTGCCTTTTGTAACAAAAAAAAAATAAGGCAAAACCTGTAGTAATGGACCGAACTGCCATGTTGATTGGGCCTTTGTGCTGCGAACGAAGAGTAGAATTTCATAATTCATCTCCTGTCAGGCGTTCGTCGTTGTTTAAAAAGAAAAAGACGGAGAATACAGGAATAGGCCGGGCTAACGAAGCTAAATGAACCTTTGTGTTGTGAATTAAGCATGAGATTTAATAATTCATTTTCAATGAGACAAGCCTTGTCGTTTGTCTACTTGGTAAATAAGTTTATCGAGAAAGTAAACGGGCAATGGAAACGCAGCTCGTCGTTGCGGTCGACGTTCGTCAATTTATCAATTTACCAATTAATCAACTTATCGATCCGCCAATTTGTCAAACAAAGGCTGTGAGAAACGGCCAACTGACGTCGGTGGGGCTGTCCGCTCAGGATTTCACAAACATTTCAATTAAGGAGATATGAAAGTGGCATCCGAAGAGTCAATCGTTCATGAAACTTTTCTCCTAACTGGGTGTGTTGAATCCGTTCAAACTTTACAAAGTTAATCTACAGGCTATAAGGAAGGTTTTGACACTCATGAAGTTTCATTTCTTATACGGAATTTTAAAAACACCTATAAATAAATTTAAACAAAAATTGAAATTTCATGAGTTTCAGGACCTTCCTTATACCCTCCATATTTATATTGTAAAGTTTGAATCGATTCAGTACGTACAGTTTGGAGCAAAGCTTCATAAACGAGTCCTCTTTGACGCCACCTTAAGTGTCCAGTTTTTTCCGCTTTTTTCGGGATTTTTTTTTTTGTGGATCATTACATTACACATACTTGAAATTTTTACTACATATTTACTTGTATTTAAACAAACCATGCAAATTTTTCTTAAGCAAACATATTGTTTTTTTTCTTCGCGTGCAGTGCTCTTGAGAGAGACCGCTGTAAAAAAAAAGTAGTGAAATGGCTGCCACGATTCTAGCTGTTCTCCTCATCTGAAATCAAACAATTTAATTGATTATTAATCTATAGATCTGTGGCTATAACTGATACCAGAATTAAGTGAACAATTTTAAAATTAAAAAATTGAGCCAGTTTTTAAAATTAATTTGTAAATTTCGTATTTTTTTCGATGAATTTAAATTGAGGTAATAAAAACTATGATAAATATCACTAAGATTTTGGTACCAGTTGTAACTATGTGTCTACTGAACATGTCATTCGAATTTGAGCGCAATCGGTTCAGTAATTTTTTCTCAAACTTGGCAGCCAATTTGAGAAATGTCGTTTTTGAGAAAAACACGTTTGAAAGTTCAAGTACACATTACACAAAGATAATTTTCACTCACCTTAAACGGCTGTTATTTCTTAGCGACTTCGAATACGGGGAAATCCTTTTACAGACATATTGCAGGGATGATTTGGAAGTAATTTAGCTAAAAAAATAAAAGAATCGATTTTTCGGACCCGACACATAGTACGACCCCCTTAATACATTCGCGACCGCTGACGTGAATTCACGTCTTTTCAAGTTCTATTTCTGGTTGCCGTTGACGTGAATTCACGTCATTTTAAATTCTATTCCTGATTGCCGCTGACGCGAATCACGTCCATGACGATACACGATACAAGTTTGCGGCAACCAGTTTCAGAATTTCATTATTTTCGCCGGTACTCAGTATTTGAAACGGAAAAAATTTGCCGGTCGCGAATGTGTTAAAAAAAATATGAAAGCAGGATACGCTAAGATGAGAAGGAGAGGTCGGACTGATATCGGGGAAATTTCGTCGCACTCTGAAAAACGCAATTAATCTGCCTATTTGTCCCCTAGTTTGCCTTTTGCATTTCTCTTATCACGGAATGAATATCATCCTCGTGCGATTGTTCGTCACAGTTCATCAGTTCATCGCGCTATTATCCTCCTAGAGATTAACCACATTGTTGGTGTTTCCTTTTTTTTTTCCTCAGGAGATATTATAAAGAGCTTACGGGCAATAAAACGATCTCTAGATCTCCGCAATTATGTTATATTATTATATTATTATATTGTATCGTTACTTCGACTCGAAATCGAGCTTTGCGAGTGACGCTTTTTTTTTTATCCACGGAAATGTTAAATCATGTAAGGCATGGATAAACTAGTTAAAGTCATTAGGAAAGTGCATTGTAAAGAATTTTAGGAGGAGCGGGGAAAAACGATGTAATCAAAATTCTTGTACCGGGAATGGGAATGTCTATGATATGAGCTTATTATATATATCTAATATATATAAACATATAATATATACATTGGGAAAAGTTGTGTAACGTCATCGAGTAGTATTTTATAATGTTCGCCGAACGCGGAAACTTCTTTCTTTCCTAGTTGAACTAACTCGCTCCAATTTGTTATCTCGTATTGTTATCACGGCGCTTTTTCTTCGATTTAGCCGTGGCGCACAAATATATTCTTCCTTCGATCCTCTTGCGGGCGCATTGTCTTGCGCAGGTGTAATCTCTAGGCAGGAATTAACCCTTATCACTCCAAGAATATTGGAAGAGTATAAGAAGTTGGCAGTATTACTGCCGGTTGGAGTGATAAGGGTTAATCCTTAAGACTAAAGCTTTTATCGATTAAATGGGGCGGTAATGTTTTAAGGGAGGATTTTCTTTTTTCTTCGTTAAATTTACCGCTTTTTTTTTCCTCATTTTCTGCCGAAGAAGCTATACAACGGATCAATGTGAAATTTGGCATGTAGATTTATTGATATGTTACATATGCATAAAGAAAAACATCAATTGATATCCCCAAAAAATACACCCCCCTCGATGCACGATGGTCGTTGGTGTGCACGATTCCAGTCTTCTCATTGATCCTACACAAGAACCCAAGAACATTTTCACTTAATACACATGTAGCTATCGTTTGATGGAGGGAAAAAAAAATGTACAAAAAAATTGAGGATCACGAACTATCGATCGATTCAACAAAATTGACCGATCTTTTTGCTATAAAGGAAAAAATATTTAACGTACAGCTTTTTTGGTTCATCAATTGATAAAAGGATGTCGATTAAGGATGCTGTCCAAATTTGAAGACAATCGGTTCAATGGTTTTTTTAAAACGCGTTCATACGCTCCGACCGTTCCACGGTTGCGCTTATAACTTGGGCATTTTTGACAATTTTGTTGTAAAATTTGGCATACATATTCTTAACACCTTGAAGAATAAGAAACATCGGCTGGAAAGTCGATTTCTTTTCACGAAAAGGAAAAAGAAAATCCTCCCCTTTTAAGGCAGTCGATTCGCCGCGATGACGATGATTTTGACTAGGCTCTTTTGAGCATGATAAAAGCGGATTAACCCTTTCGTTACCTTGGACGAGATATCTCGCGACCCAATACTGGCCGATGAACGCTTTTGACGAGATATCTCGCGACCCGATACTGGCCGATCAACGCTTTTGACGAGATACCTCGCGATCCGGTAGTAGCGGATTATCGCTTTTGACGATAATCTAGCTTTCTAGCACCAATATTTTGACATTCTAGATGAATATATTTTATAACTAATTCTATTCGTATAGCTAAAAGGAAGAAATAAATACAGTTTTTATTAATGAAATGAAATTATTTTTATTTACTTTCTACGTGGCAGAACACAAAATAATTTGTCTAGAATGTCAAAATATTAGTGCTAGGAAGCTAGATTACCGTCAAAAGCGTTAATCCGCTACTACCGGGTCGCGAGATATCTCGTCAAAGGCGTTGATCGGCCAGTATCGGGTCGCGAGATATCTCGTCAAAAGCGTTAATCGGCCAGTATTGGGTCGCGAGATATCTCGTCCAAGGTAACGAAAGGATTAAGGAAAAAGGGTAATGCAGGATTTCCGAAATTTGTCGGTAAATTTGTCAAGATAGCGTGTATTCGCTCTCAACTCGCAAGACGAGAAAGTCTAGGCCTTAGACTATATAATTTTCTATCGAGAACCTGTCACTGAGATAGAAGTAAGCTTTAGGCAAAAATGTTAGTTAATAGAATTTCGGATATATTTTAATTAAAAGCGGTACCAAAATGGCGATCAAGATATCAAATCGAGTCTTCTTCGGGATTATTCCCAGAAATCAGGCGTTTATTATACCCTGAAACTAACAAGGAAGGTATCCCAGATCGATCTCTCCAATTTCATGTCTTTTATAATATGCTATAGTAGATTAAAAACTAAGCGACACGTATTTTTTTACCTACCATTAAACGCTTTAAGGGGGTGACACCACCATCCAAAGTAAGGCATGTCAAGGGGCGATTTGGCAGTTTCACCCACAAGAACATAATATTTTTTAACCAATCCACCTGGAAAAGCTTTCTCGTAAGGAGAAATGAAAAATATAATTTTCTCAATTAAAAATAAAATTAAGGGGTGAGCCACCCCTCACAGGCCTTACTTTGGATGGTGGTTTCACCCCCTTAAAGTGTTTAATGGCAGATGAAAAAAATACGTGTCGCTTAGTTTTTAGTTACCAAAACATATTATAAAAGAAATCAAATTGGAGAGATCGACCTGGGATACCTTCCTTGTAAATGCAACTAGTGCTGGTATTTTTCCGGTGCAACGTTGGAAAGTAGGAAAGGATAATCAACATTAGTGCGGTAAATATTAAAACGGATTAAAAGTTGTTCGAGGGATAATATACGCGGAAGAATGTGCTTGTATTGAAGAGTGCCTTTTATAGTTAAGAAACAAGGAGGTTGAACATTCTTGGTTTTAGAAATTATTTATAATAGCGACACCGTCCTCAAAGCCGAGTGTCTTTCGATTTTCGTCTTCCACGCAGCACAAAGCATTGCGTAAATATATTACAAAAAGTTGGAACATTGTATAAACGCGGAAATATTTTCGATGCGCTGGTTATTATGTTTCTTGTTTTTTTTTTCCTATTTTTTATTTCACTTTAGCAACGCGGTTGTAATCTGTACATAGTTTAAGTTGCAATGTAAAAATATATAGTACCGTGCTACGATGTCATACAGTTTTCGTATTCGTCTGTAAGAATCGCTGAGCTGAGGATGCTAGAAGTATTATAAACAACGAAGAATCGACGCTTGGCACGGCCATTTGTTTATTGACTTTCGTTCGATTGCTGCATTGTTGGATGTTGTCCTGATTGCTAAATCGGATGTGAGGAGTTTCACTGGTACAAATTAACAATCGTCGAGATTGAAGTCCGACGAGTCTCCGCTAAACGACTGCAAATAATTGTGTGTAATTGTATAACTAATATGTATATGTAGATGTAAGGTGTACTGTAAATAGGAATGTTGCTAGCGACGCGACATTAGGTATAATACTCAACGATAAAGATTGCGGACGGCGGAAATGCTTTGCTTCCGTTCTTCTGGCATGGTTGGAAAAATGCATGAAATTAGGATTATACGTTTGTAAAAGAGCCCCGAAACATTGTTTCGGGCTTCCTAGTGCCACATCATTGAATCTTCCCTCGTATACGGGACAATAAACGTCTGTCGAGAGATCGTTCCTGGTTTTATTGTTTAGCTTTTGCAGCATCGGCTGTTGAGATCATTGCAGGTTTAAGGGGATGTGAAAGTGGCATCCGAAAGCTGAATCGTTCATAAAACTTTTCTACGAACTGGGTGTCTCAAAACGTTCCATACTTTAAAACGTGAATATGGAGACCCTAAGGTAGGTCCTGAAACTCGCGAAATTTCACTTTTTATATATTATCTTGAAAATAAATCTGAATATGAAGCTTGAGCGATTCACGAAACGTCTGAAATCGTATCCATAAATAGGAAGATTTATTTTCGAAAATACATTAAACTACGGCGGTTAACAAAGTATTCTCAGGGAATAATTGCTCTCTTGTAACTTATAAATATGCAGGTCTTCGATGAACAATGATCCATAACTGAACGGAACTTTGTGCCCTCAAAAATGCGAGTCTTGAAACCCCCCGAAATTGCGAAGTCTTCCTTGTCACAAACTCATTTATGATAATGTCAAAATTGAGCGTAATGAGAGGCTTCGCTACTGTTTCTTGTTCATTTGCTTGTTTCGCTTCTTCTCCTCGCGTCATGTCATTTTTAAAGTTTTCACCGTCTCTTTCGTAATTTTGGGCCAGAGTATGTCGTTTATAAATCTAAATATGAAACGTGATCAATTCATGAAATGTCTGAAATCGTATCCATAAATAGGAATATTTATTTTCGAAAATACATTAAACCGCGGCGGTAAACAAAATACTCTCAGGGGATAAATGCTTTCTTGTAACTTAAAAATATGCAGGTCTTCGATCAACAATGATCCATGACCCTGAACGGAACTTTCTGCCCCCAAAAATGCGAGTCTTGAAACCCCCCGAAATTGCGAAGCCTTCCTTATCGCAACCCCATTTATGACAATGTCAAAATTGACCAATTGGCAATTGACAATTGGCTTCGCTACTTTTTCTTCTTCATTTGCTTGTTTCGCTTCTTCTCCTCGCGTTTCCTTTCCCTCTCGGACAGACTCCTGTACAGCTTGTAGCCGAAGAATACTGCAAACAGAGAAAATAGGAATTAATTATTATTTGGCGCAATGAATTATGAATATGAGAAAGTTATTTTCTGATAGGTGTGAGATGCCGATTTGTCGTAGGTCGATTTTCCTCGTTATGTCGTACCGAATATAAAAACTATAACCAGAGCGGCGATTATAATAAGGGCATGAGATTGATAAAGCATTGCCAGTGTCGAATTCTTCACAAGGTCCCTCGAAATCTGACTCAAAGACTTCCTGAAGGCGTCTCTTGCTTCCTCGTTAAAGTCCTTTTTCCCCTCCTCGTCAAGCTGGCGATATTTCTGCACCATCTCGAGGATCTTTTTCTGCAGGTCCTCCGAAACTCCATTGATGTTCCTCAGCTTCTCTAGGACGTCTTCAGCCATTTCAATTTTTTTTTTTCTTCAATTTCTAAAGGCCTGCAGGTCGATATTTTTTACTCCGATTCCCTCGACTCGATAGCACTTTTTACGACCCAGTTTTAAACGATGACTGCCGACTTCGTGGCGATTATTAATCGATTAGAACGTCGAGGTTGGAGCCGTCGATTAGATATTAACCTCTTCGGGATCAGCTCCCAATATTATCGGAGAATATTGCCACCGAGTCGCAAGCAAGCGATATTTTTGACTGACCGTTCATTTCTCCGAGAGAAAGACTTACTGGGTCGGCCAATTTTTTGATTGCTCAGCGAAATGCTCTTTTGATGTCATATCGCGGTGTAATTCGTCAGGACTCTTTTCGAAATTGAAGTGGGAAGTCGGAAACTTCGCGATGTGACGATTGTGAATCGTTACCCTATCAGATTTCCCCTGGAAACCCTCACAGCTTCTATTTAATGTCAATCATTTCAATACAAGCATATGTTAATATTTATCCTTATTGTGGACAAAAGGATAAGTTATCCTTTTGTGGTATAAATAAAGTACTCACCCAGGGAATATAAATTTAAAGAATTGGTCCACGTATGTGCTCTCAAAATAGAGTAATAATATATTATTATTATCGCACGAATTATTTAGCATGTTTTGATTTTCTAAAATAAGGGTGTATGCGAAAATGTATAAAATAATTGTTAACTTTAGTATTTCAATGTTACATTACAAAGCTTTTCTAACACTTGCAGTATTCAGGATAAGTTATCCTTTTGTCCACAATTCAGTGAAAAATTAGTCACTCCTAACCCAGACAGCATAAAATATTCATAGAATGTAAAAAAGAAGTTGGAAAATATTCCTCATGTATATTCGACATTGGAATGATATTTTAAGTACGCTATTAGATTATGTACGTATGATAATGTTTCCCAGATATAGTCGAAATATTTAATGTTTTATAAATATGTATATACACAATATTGGTTTAGCAATGTCATTTGAAATATGGGATACTATTCTATAAATACTGCAAGTGTTAGAAAAGTTTTGTAATGTAACATTGAAATACTAAAGTTAACAATTATTTTATACATTTTCACATACACCCTTATTTTAGAAAATCAAAACATGCTAAGTAATTCGTGCGATAATAATAATACATTATTACTCTATTTTGAAAGCACATACGTGGACCTATTCTTTAAATTTATATTCCCTGGGTGAGTACTTTATTTTTTGTAAAAGTAGGTGCTTACGTTTCAGTGATTCAATATTTTATCTCACCAAATGTTGACACTTATTTAAAAGTAGAATACTGAAACATGAACCTTTTGCATTTTTATTTGCGTGGCAAAAAATATCATTCAGATATGTATATGACATGCTATTTCTTATGTGTAAGAAGTATCAATTCCATGTTCATACAATGTTTCGTTAAATATATTTCGAATATAAAAAAATTGACCAAAACTACATTCGTCCTATGTTAAAAAAATGTACATAGCACATAAATCCATGTCCTATTAATATTGAAATATTTTCAAGGAATATTCTATGAACCTCTGTGCTATGTATTTGTGCTGTCTGGGAAGTATCGCATCGCGTTATCATTAAAACAAAATGGAAACTAGGGGGAAGCTATTCGGCGTAGACAAGTTAACAATTCTTCGTCAATGCAGTAGTTCTGCATCTTTCAACATAGGCATTAATTTAAATTAAGTAACTAAAATGCGAGAACGAAGCAACGTTCTAATAGGAAATAAGAGAATGATTTTTGGAAAATCGAAGAAAAATCCGAAAAAGAGGAAGTTTATTTCTTCCCCTTTTCGAAGTTGGGCCTTAAAGGGGTAATAGATTGTGAAGTGCATTTTATTTAAGAGGAGTTTAAAAAAAAAAATAAGAAGATAAAGGAAATGTTTGCTTACGGGGCTGTTTTAAGTTATGTTTTAAGAAGAATTTAAGAGAAAAATATTTAAAGTCTTTAAACATAACAACAGATCTGCGGATGACTTTGTTTCCACCGTGTACACGATCCCAGGAAAACGACAAATTTGGAACAAAAAGTTATAATTTTAAATGCTAGGACAGATTAAAAAACTGATGCCACGGTTTTTGGTGAAATAAATGTGTAAATTCTATTAAAAAATAGCCAACAGAAAGCACCTTTTCATTTTTTCTTGCACTTTAATTGTTGATATCTGTTGAACACGCAGATCGTAAAAAGTTCGTGTCATTGGTTCTTCAATAATCTTCCCTAATGTCTAAAAACACCTGAACCGTTTATTTCAGACTTGTCAATCGCCTGGAATCATGTAAATCTTGAAATAAATAAAAAATGTCCAGCTTTCTTACGTGCGGCATTTTTAAACGTGTAAAAACATTTGTTATCTTTGATTCACTGTAAGACATAAAATAGAACAACCTTGTTAGCAAATATTTCCTCTACCATTTCATTACCTCTTAAGGTGAAGTGAAACCTCCCTCAAATCAGTCGATTCGAATAAAACACTTTTTTTTAAGGGTATTGGATCGAACTGTCTGAAACTTTTAGATATGACTCGTGACCACCTAACAATTGTTCGGATACTTACAAAACTTGGATTTTGGAAAAGAAATTGTTTAACTTACCCCAAACCAGAACCGAAATGGCATCTAACTCTCATATTTCAATCGATGTCCAATTATTGAAAGCCTTAATATTAGAAACGAAAGGGTCAGGACAATTGTACGACAATTTAGAACACTCTGATAATCGAGAAACTCGCATTTCAACGGGATAAAGGCTAAAAAAGTGTCTTATGCGCTTCTATGCTAAAACGATGGTAATACGAGGTCTCGTTGACCAGGAAATCACAGATAGCGCAGGGGGTCATTCTGCAGTCAATTAGGGCCTCAAAAATAGACTCTGATAATCGAGAAACTCGCATTTCAACGGGATAAAGGCTAAAAAAGTGTCTTATGCGCTTCTATGCTAAAACGATGGTAATACGAGGTCTCGGAGTGAAAAATTAGTTGACCAGGAAATCACAGATAGCGCAGGGGGTCATTCTGCAGTCAATTAGGGCCTCAAAAATAAATCCAGGGAATTTCTGGAGTTTCACTTCGATTTCTTTATAATTATTGTACGAAACGACAGATGGAGTATGCCATTTAGTACAATACTCAATATAATTCGACACAGCTGTCAATATAAAAATGAATGTCGGCAACGTAGGTATTTAGAAGAACCTTTTTTACCGACGTCGATCAAGTTCCTCGACGTGTTTCACTTCACCTTAAATTCACATTGATTAAAATGCATTTCACGATCTACTGACCTTCTAAAATTTTAGAAAATGAAACGATTAAAAACAAAATATTTACCAAAAACAAGAGCGATTACTCCTAGAAGGACCAAGAGGAGGGCAGTCTCCGTGGTGAAGTCACTGGAAGCGGACAAAGCTTTGGCATGTCCTTGTCCTTGCTGATTTTTTAAGATCTCGCTTCTAATATTTTCCTTGTCTTCCTCGGAGAGGCCGGCCATCGAGTCGAGCATTTTCAGGAGCTCAGCTGGAGTTGGCAACTTCTGGCCGAGACCAGGAAGGTCCGGAGCTTCGCCCGAGGATGGCTCGTCCTCGACGATGGCATCATCGAGTTCCTTATCAGCAGAAACCTGGGCCAGCAAGGTGCTTGCCAGTATCGTCCACATCTTCCGGTACCTTCGGCCTTCAATTGGGGTTCTGTCGAATTTTTTTCCCCCGTTTCTTTACAATCCCTTTATATGTTATTCTTATTGTAAATGATTTGATTTGCAGACAACTCAAGTGAGATATATAATAATAGAAATGTATAAGCGTTGAACCGAGATTCGTCTATTACTTCCTTTATTCCTTCTAACAAGGAAGGTATCCCAGGTCGATCTCTCCGATTTGATATTTTTTTTATAATATGTTATAGTAGACTAAAAACTAAGCGACACGTATTTTTTTATATCTGCCATTAAACACTTTAAGGGGATGAAACTACTATCTAAAGCAAGGCCTGTGAGGGGCGGCTCACCCCTTATTTTTTTTTTTAATTGAGAGAATTCTATTTTTTATTTCTCGTTACGAGAAAGCTTATCTAGGTGGATTGGTTAAAAAATATTATATTCTTGGGGGTGAAACTGCCAAATTGCCCCTTGACATGCCTTATTTTGGATGGTGGTTTCACCCCCTTAAAGTGTTTAATGGCTGATAAAAAAAAATACGTGTCGCTTAGTTTTTAGTCTGCTATAACATATTATAAAAGATATCAAATCGGAGAGATCGACCTGGGATACTTCCTTGTCAGTTATAAAAGTAAGAAATCACGTAATGCATTTGCTGCCATACGTTAATAGCGTTTATCACCACCATTGTTACACACGCACCTGATTAAGGTAAATGTCTACAGACATACCGATATTTTCACATATCCTTCAAATATTAACTAATATTCAATACTGTCTTCGTACATTGAATTCCCTGGGACGCGAAATATTAACTGATATTAGATGATATTGATCCAATATTACCCCAATATATTACGAATATTCTTTACTACTGAGAAAAAAAAATGCAATCCATGTAACAGACAAAATCAAACATTTTCTTGTTGACGCGAAATATTAGCTGATAATAGATGATATTGATCCAATATTACCCCAATATATTACGAATATTCATTACTACTTAGAAAAAAAATGCAATCCATATAACAGACAAAATCAAACATTTTCTTGTTGACACGAAATATTAGCTGGTAATAGACAAAATTGATCCAATATTACCCCAATATGTTACCAATATTCTTTACTACTGGGGAAAAAAAAAAATGCAATCCATGTGACAGGCAAAATCAAACAATTTTCTTGTTGACCTCACAGTTACAAAAGCAGGAAATCACGTAATGCATTAGGTGCCATATGTTAACAGCGTTTATCACCACCAATGTTGCACACGCACCTGATTAAAGTAAATGTCTATAGACATACCGATATTTTCACATATTCTTCAAATATTAACTAATATTCAATACTGTCTTGGTACATTGAATTCACTGGGACGCAAAATATTAGCCGGTAATATTGATCCAATATATTACCAATATTCTTCACTACAGGAAAAAAAAAATGCAATCCATGTAACAGACAAAATCAAACATTTTCTTGTTGACGCGAAATATTAGCTGGTAATAGATAATATTGATCCAATATTACCCCAATATATTACCAATATTCTTTACTACTGGAAAAAAAAAAATGCAATTCATGTGACAGACAAAATGAAACAATTTTCTTGTTGACCTCACAGTTACAAAAGTAGGAAATCATGTAATGCATTAGCTGCCATATGTTAACAGTGTTTATCACCACCAATGTTACACACGCACCTGATTAACGAAAATATCTACAGACGTCAAAGCCACGTGTCAGCGCGGTAGTCCCAA